GGGGGGTTGGAAGATTGGAGCTCTGGACAACCGACATATTCTGATCCAACTCTCTAACAAGGATGATTATGTTAAGATTTTTGCATGTAGAATTGTTCATTTTGGTGATGTTTGGATGAAGGTCCTTAAATGGACAACAGAGTGTGACCCTAAGACCGAGCTTCCTATTATTCCTGTCTGGCTTAGACTTTCAGGTCTAAAGGTGCATTTGTTCAATCATGAAATTTTGTTTTCTATAGCTGCCATGTATGGTAAACCTTTAATGTTTGATGCCCCCACATTTAATTTAACCAGACCCTCAATGGCTAGAATTTTAATAGAGCGGGATGTTACCTTACCTCCTTCGGAGGAGGTTTGGATTCGCTCTAGTCATATTGGTTATTAGCAGCGGGCTTAGGCAGCAGGTTTTGCTTGAAAAGCATCCTCACTACTGTTTGCATTGTAGCATGTTTGGTCATGATTCTGATCATTGTTTCCATTTGCACCCCGAATTGAGGAAATTCCCTACTGGTCGTGTGGCCTCTGCTGAGCAGAAATCTTCTCTTCGAAGTAACATCTCTGAACCAGCTGTTCAGTCTGCTGATGCCTGCATGGGTCCTGTTGATCTGGTTGCTCCCTGGCATCTAATGTGGCTCATCCCGTGGAAGCAGCAGCTGATGCAACTTGTGGGGGTCCTGTTAGAACTGATGAAAATGTTGAACCTATTTATACACCTGAACCGGAACCTGAGCCACAGCCCACTCAGATACCTACTTTTTAACTTAATCAAATTGTATCACTTGATCCCCCACAAGCAATCACTCATCCTTCTACTTCTTTGGTTGCTCCATCATAGCCGGATCCATCCTCTTTGACTGCCTCTGCTTTATAATATGAATAGAAAATTCAAAAATATAGTAGGAAAAGAGGGAGAAGGATCTGAACTTTCAAATATGACACAGACAAACAATATTGATGTCACGTAGGGCGAGCACTTGCACCTTCCCCCTAGGCTTGCTAGGTGGGAGGGGGTCATGGACCAAAATATTTAATATTCTAGTGTGGAACATTAGAGGAGTGGCGGATCATCACTCCTTTGATCGTTTAAAACATTTATTTAGGGTCCATAAACCTGACATTTTTGTTTTTTTGGGACCTCTTGTTTCGATCCATAAAGAAAACATCATTAAGAAATTCAAGGGTTACATGCATTTCTGTAATGTGAATAACAAAATTTGGCTCCTTTGGCGAAAAGATATCACTCTCAGCATCATTGATGATAATGTGCAATACGTTCTTATTCATTATCGGTTGAAAAATTATTTTGGTTGGGCTACTTTTATGTATGCCAGCTCTCTTTTAAATGATAAGCTTCTTCTTTGGCAGCAACTTACTCATATTGATGCTACTATTACTGAAAATTAGTCCGTTGGTAGATATTTAAATATGATTATGTCGCCATCCGAGAGATGAGGTGGTTCTAAGGTTGAAACGAGTCTTATCAACTGTTTCTGTGAACATATTGAGGATGCTGACCTTTATGATTTAGGCTATTTAGGTTATCCTTGCACTTGGCGGCGGGGTTTTCTTATGCAAAGATTGGATAGATTTCTGGGAAATTCTGCATATTTGAGTTATATGTTGCATCGGAACAGAATCTCATTTTGCTTGGCTTGATTTTTCATTCCAAACCTTATTATTATCATTTTAAATTTCTCAATGTTTGGGCTTCTCATCCTACTTTTATTGATTTGATTAAGCAGACTTGGGTCTCTAGATAGAGTGGTAACCCTTGGTTCATTTTTTGACAACTTCATAAGAATGTTGTTTCTCATTTAAAGAGATGGAACATTGATATTTTTGGCAATGTTCACTCTAAGGTTTTGAAGGCCCAACAAGAGGTTGACTCTTTAGAATCTCAGTTGATTGACACTCCTGATCTTGTGGCCAAGTTAGCTGATGCTCATCACACTCTTTTGGAGGAAATCTTCATTGAGAAGGATTTTCTTAGACAGAAAGCTTGTGACAATCATTTCAAGAACGGTGACAGAAACACCAAGTACTTTCATGCTACTATCAAACATTGTCGTAACATAAATACCATTATTAAGATTGTCACTGAGGAGGGCTCAGTTCTCACCGATATTGACCAAATTGGTTCCAATGCAGCTGATTATTTCTCTTCTCTCTATGCTGATACTCTACCTGTCACTGATATTATTTCAGACTTATTTGAGGATCAGAGATACATGGCTCCTCCCTCTCTCTGTCCGACTCCCCTACTGAGTTGGAGATTTTTACTGCTCTTAAAGATATTAGCTATCAGAAAGCTCCTGACCCAGATGATTTCGCTTCTACTTTTTATATTTCCTGCTGGAACATTATTAAGAACAAGGTGGTACTTGTTATTTAAAGTTTTTTTCAGGGTGATGATTCTGGAAAGTATTTCTCTGCCGCTCTGATTGTACTTATCCCTAAATCAAATGAAAAATCTCATTGGAAGGACTTTCAGCCTATCTCTCTAACTTATGTTATATCTAAAATCATTAGTAAACTGATTGTGTCTCGTCTCCAACCTCACCTACCTTCCCTTATCTCCCATCATCAGTCGGTTTTCATTAAAGTTCGTGATATTTCTGATAATATTCTCTTGGCACATAAAATTTTACAGGTTTTTGTTAAAAAATGCAGGGATGGTAATCTGTTTATCAAATTAGATATCAAGAAAGTTTTTGATACCATAAATTGAAATTTCATTATCAACGTTCTGAAAGCTAGGGGTTTTAATACCAGTTTTTGCACTTTGGTTAAAATTAACAACTTTTACTTTGTGTTAGTTAATGGAAACTCTTATGGCTTTTTCACTGCATGTCGTGGTATTAAACAGGGAGACCTCTTTTCCCCTATTATTTTTATTTTAGCTTTTGACTATTTATCCAGGATACTTAATCATTTTTCAGTTTTCACATCATCACGCACAGTTCTCTCACAAAGCTAAAATAATGGTCTCACACCTTGCTTATGCAGATGACGTCATTCTTTTTGCTAATGCATTTAAACTCGCTATAAAACAAGTGATGAGGCTTTTACAGGATTTTCAGAATTGCTTTGGACTTCGCTTTAATTGTGACAAGTATCAGATGTTTTTTGGCAAGCAGGTTAAACAACATCTTATTCAATGGGGAGTTACATATATTGGTTTTTATCATGCCTCTCTCCCTCTTAAATATCTTGGGGTCAATTTGATAAGGGGAAGGGGAAACCAGGTTCATATGGATGATGTTATAGATAAAATCAAACGTAAAATTAATGATTGGAGAAGTGTTTTTCTTTCTACTGGGGGCATAATCTCTTTGCTTTCTAGTGTTCTTCAGGGTATTTCACTATATGCTTTGCAAGTGTTCAATCCTAAAAAAATTGCTATTAATGAGATGGAGAGGCTTTTTAATAAATTCCTATGGGTGGGG